TTCCTTAATTTCCTTCCTCCTCTTTGGACAATCCCTTTTAAAATGACCCTCTTCATCTCATTAGTAACACCAAAAGCTTTTACTACTCGATTTGGAGCGTTGGGACACGCCGCCTCTCTTTAGGTCGTCCTTGTTCCGAACCAGCTCCTTTTGCTACCAAAGCTTGACCGTCATTTGGTACCCCATTGCCACACTGCCGAGTCTCGTTCATTAATAACGCAACAACTAATTCATCAAATTTTGAGGTCTCTTTTCCAAACAAGAGCATGGTCACGATGTTGTGAAAAGACGAAGGCAATGAAGCCAACAAAAGTAGCGCCTTGTCCTCCTCTTCAATCATCACATCAATGGATTCCAACTCTGTTGTAGTCTTGTTGAATTTATCCGAGTGTCTATTAAACTTAGCTTCCTCCGCCATTTGGAGACCAAACAATTGCTTCTTCAAGTATAGTCTACTTGTCAACGATTTCGACTTGTACCGACTCTCCAGCTTGTCCCAAATATCCACCGGGTCCAGAACCTCCCAAAGAGGATTGTTTGTAAGGCATAGGCATATTGTACTTGTTGCCATATTCTTCAAATCCTCCCACTCTTCTTCCGATAATTTTTCTAGTTTGTCATTCTTTCAGTGTTTTGCCCAATCAACATCCGTCATTTTTCTGGCCTCGAACCTTCACCTTCACAGCTTTGATTGTCCCTTCCCGAGTAAGAACACTTATTACTCGTTGTTGCCACGGAGTAAAATCACCACGTCCACCAAAACGTTTGACAGAAACATTCAAAAATTTTACAGATACCATTTTCAAGTTCTTCGATTTTCTTCTCTTACCGCTTAGAAATCCCTCCGCCCCAAATGTAACTTGGCTCCGACACCAATTATTGGGATTTTAAGCGCGTAAGACTCTTAAGATATCAAGAGCGTGAAAAATAAATAAACACACTATACAAGAAGAAAATATGAGAGAAAAATTATACTCCATATCTTCACTATTTCAGAACAATGCACAAAAAACTCTTTGTTTACAAGCGCTAAATACCAGACATCTTTAAATAGACTTTTTGCACCCTACACTCGGATGTATTTTTCGAGTAACTAAATAATAGTTACTCTCTACACTCACCCACACAATCTTGGTGATATCTTGTGTAGCACCTCTCTCTTCACACTCTTTCTCTCTTAGCCGTGTGTGAAAAACCCACCCTAAACCTAAGGAGAACATTCCTCTTATAAGAGATAAAGAGCAACAAAGAAAGAAACATCCCAACCCCTTAGTTTCTTACACCACCAAAAACAAAAGAAGAAGACAACCTCCACTTCACATGCATTGGTCCAATTCCAACCATCACTTCACATGCATAATACATGCATTTATCCTTTCTTCATTTTCCTTTTTGCAATTTAACTAATCAATCTCAGCATGATATATCATTCAATTCATTTATGATTCGATTCAGATTGTATTTGGTCTAAATATATTTTATTCAAGTTTTATTTAATTCGGCTCTAAGTTTTTCAGGTCTTATTCGGACTCGCCCATTCGGTTCCAATTTAGTTCAGGTCATCCCAAGTATCTAACAAAAGATCAAGTATTCAATTTCTAGGTTATTTGGGATTGGATTTAGAATTGTTCATTTAGGTAGTGTTTGGAAATTAGCATTTCATTTCAATTAATACATTTCTATTTCAAAATTTGAAATCTTGAATTTCAAATGACAAGGGAGGTGCATGAATTTCAAATTAACTTTTGTTATGAATAAAAAGAATTTGACTTAAACCAAATCTAAAATTTTTAAAATTTTCAAACACGGAATTTGAGTCAAATTCGGATTTGAAATTCAAATCTATCATTTAACACCCTAATCCGTCCAGGTCTGCAGCCCCTTTTGGACTAAAGTATTGATTTGGTAATCGTGATAATTTAAAACATTTCAAACATTTTTATTTATAAATAATATTCCATACATAATTGTAGATAATACGGAGTGTTTAATAATAATAATAATGATAATGCGGAAGCGACTTTTAAACATGTCTCATAACAACATAATTATTTATTTTGTTTAATGATCCACCACGACTGTCTCGCCCCCTTCTGCTGCCAGGAATCAGCCAATCATTCATTCTATCTACCTGCGTGTAGCAAATAAAACACACTACACGCTCAGCGGTGAAGCTGAGTAAGCATATCTAAAACGTCGAACATCCAAATAAATTGAATCTCAATTCATAATCAACCATTTGATATCATGCACACAATATATGATTCAAACATTCATGATATTCTCAATATTTCATTCCAAGTCATTTGATATTCAATATCTCAACCATGCTCTTAAATTATTCTTAATCTAAGCCCAAATCATTTTATAACAAGCTCTTAGCTATTCCTAGTCTAAGGCAACATTTCTAACCAGGCCCTTAAACTATAAATAGTTTAATGCAGAACACAAGAATCGATAATCCACCTTATGAGTCATGTGGATTACGTACCAACCGAACAGTGAACTGTCGGGTGGGTGATATCCGGTCTGGATCCCGTACGTACGTTTTAACCCCGAAATATGAATTGGTCAAGGAGGTATATCTTAGAGTTCTTCTAAATATCCTTAATATTCATCATCATTATACAAGTGGGTATATCTTAGAGTTCTTCTAGATATCCTTAACAATATACATCATTTTCATAATCATCATCATATCCATTTTTAATCATGATTTAATCTATAATCATACCAATCAGTAGGTTAATCATTCATAATTGGCCACAATAATAGTTCATCATAATGATCATTCAACATAACATTTAATAACAATTAGCGGCCTAGTCTCGAGTGTTAACACCCGGACTTACCGTCATGCTTCACATAATGTTTTAATTTGTTAAAAACATCATTTTTGTTGTGAAAAATCATTTTTATAATAATCATAATCAATTGGTATCAAAAATAGGATTTTAGAGCTCAAAAATAGCAATTTCAGACAAATTTTCGGACCAGAGTTTCGGAAGATCGATCCAGCCCTCTGGATCGATCCAACTAGAAGAAAAACTCCCAGAGGATCAATCCAATGAAGGGGATCGATCCACTCTGTGGATTTTCAGCCACTGTTCATTGGTCTTCAACCTCAGTCCATTTTTCGGGAAAACCATTTTTAGTCACCGAACTTCAATTAAACTATATAGACGTGTTCTCCAAGGTTCATAGATCATATTAGAATTATTAAAACATATTTTTAACATCAAATTCAAGGTTTATGATTCTTAGTTCTTCAAACATGTCAAACACAAAACTCAACCAAATGACCATTTATGAACGTAGAAACGACCTATATGAACATTCTAGTCATTAGATATATCTACGGGCTTACCTCGAAGCTTATCGAAGGTTTTGAGAATTTTCCGGTGAAACTTCCGGCGATGATTACTCTCAACTCCGGCGACCTCACACCAATACGACAGCACCACCACGTTCTCCTCACTCCCAGCAACATAATAGAATGAAACTTTGTAAGAAATGGTGAAGAATGGAGGGAGTTGTGGTAGTCTTTTATAGGAGAAGGAAGAGGAAGAAGATGAAATTCACTGTGTCACCTTCCCTGTTAGAGCGGCTAGTGGAGTGGGCTGCAATATCCACGATTCCAAACGCAAGTCCCTGATTGGGACTAATTTGGTCCCAGTCGGGGAACACTTTTTGGTCTAACTTTCTCCGAATTGAAATCCGTTTGCACCGTTGTGATCGTACATTTAAACTCTATCCAACGATATAATTTTTATATTTATTTGTAATACTTTTTCCGACATCATATTTTTGGGTGGTTGACTTTGACAGAGTCAAAATTGGTTTAATTGACCTTTCTCATAAAAGGTTCTCTCATTTAATTCATATCAATTATTCTCATGATTTATTTCAATAAATCATTACAAAGTTCACATCATAATTAATTAATTTATTTATTCTTGATTTGGGTCTGTACTCAGGTTCCCAATCAAGACCACACAAATAGTCCACATATTGGATTTATCTCGATTAGACTTATCCAGATTTTGATATTGGATATTAAAAAATATTTCATATCGGCCCAAAGCCCAATAATAATCAAAAAAAAATTGTTTAATCGAATAATTATTTAATAATAATTCTAGGGTATGTTTCGGGGCGTTACATATCACATGCCACCCGGGCTACCCAAATTTTGCATTGCCCTTTCTAGGGGTGAGCATGGTACGGTATTTAGCTCGTACCGATACCGTACCAAATATTTCGGTTTGGTATGAGATTTTACTCCGTACCGATCCCGATCCCGAAATATCGGTTCGGTATGGTTTGGGATGTTCGGTGTCGGTTTCGGTACAAATTGGGATGAAGATACATACATACTTTACACGTTAAAATTTAACAATACCCTTTTATTTTTGAAAATTAAAAATGAATTTAAATAAAAAACATGAAAAATTAAAAAAAAAATGAATATTTAAATGCAAGAGATGCGTGTCAAAAACTTAGTTTATATTTCACAAACTAAAAAATGAATGACAACAAAGGAGTATTTTGAATCTTTGTGAATACTTTTATGCTTATACATAATAATTAAAACTCAAATAAAAGTATAATTTACACATAATAAAACTTGAACCAATTTTTTTTTTTTTTAAATTATAATTTAGTGAAGGAATATATAAAAATATTACTCCGGGGTATTATTTTTATAATATTTTAGTATATATGTTCGGTACAGGATTTTTGGCATGAGACGTCACCTCGTATCATTCCCGAATACCGTACTGACCATTCGGTTCGGTACAGTTCGATTCCTTCTCGGTACTTTTTCGATTCGATATTCCCCAATTTTCAAGAAATTTCGGTATAGGTTCTGTATTTGCTCACCCTAGCCCTTTCCCTAGCCGAGCGAGGCTTTCTCGCCCTTTATCGCTCCATCTCTGGCAGCCCAAACCAGCTATCCATGCATGTTTAATTTCAGCAAGAAACTCTATTGCTTTCGCCTCCAAACACGGGTGCGGCCCTTCTCAGTTCTTCCCTCATGTCCCCTCGCATCCCCACCTGAAATCTTGCATCAAGTATGCGCCTTGATGAAGAAGCCAAAATGGGAGGAAGACGACTTCTTGAAATCACTGGTTTCTCACATGAACCCAGGTCTTGCTTCCCAAGTCCTGGCGCTTCAGAGCAATGATATTCAGCTCAGCCTTCGGTTCTTCAGGTGGGTTTGCTTGCACTCTACGTATTGCTATGATTTCGACGGCAAGATTGAGGTTTTGAATTTGTTGCTTGCTAGTAAATCGATTCAACTTGTACATAAAGTCCTGGTTTTGTTGATTAATGAAAACTGTGTGTCTGAATCTGATACCTTGAAGTTAATCCGCGCGCTCGAGGGCATGAGAAATGCGGGATTTAAGCTCAACTATCCCTGTTATAGTGTGCTTTTGATGCGGTTGGCTAAGCTAAGCATGTGCTTATCAGCTCTTCAGTTGTATGAGGAAATGATGGGAAATGGCTTTGTTCTATCTCTGATTGATTATACTTCTTTAGTAAATGCTCTATGTAAAATTGGGTATGTGAGATCTGCTGAAATGTTCTGTTCCAGGGTTTTGAAACTCGGATTTAGGCTAGATGTTCGTGTGTGTACCTCGTTGGTCTTGGGTTATTGTAGGGTTTGTGATATTGTTGGCGCCTATAAAGTGTTTGACACAATGTCCCGATTGGATGGTTGTAAGGCTAACAGTGTTACATATTCAATATTGGTTCATGGTCTCTGTAAAGTTGGCAGGACAGACGATGCCTTTCAACTAAAAGAGCAGATGAGCAAGAAAGGTTGTAAACCTAGCACACACACATATACTGTACTCATTAAAGCTGTATGCGACAGGGGATTGATTAATAAGGCTTTCCTTTTGCTTGATGAGATGCTGAAGAAGGGCTGTATGCCAAATGTTCACACATACACAGTGCTGATAGATAGATTGTGTGGAGAGGGAAAATTTGAGGAGGCCAATGAGTTATTTAGGAAGATGATAAAGAACAAGTTGTTTCCGAATGTAGTAACATTCAACACGTTAATTGATGGTTATTGTAAAGAGGGAAAGGTGGTGTCTGCATTTGAGCTACTTGGTGTAATGGAAAGAGGGAAATGCAAACCAAATATCCGTACATACAATGAGCTAATAGGTGGACTATGTATAGTAAATCAACCTTTTAAGGCAATGGAACTATTGGAGAAGATCATTGGTAATGGACTGAAGCCTAATGAGGTAACCTACAATACCCTGATTAATGGTTTCTGCAAGGCAAGCCACCTTTGTGCAGCTCTCACGGTTCTACAATCAATGAAGCTAACAGGAATTGAACTTGATGGCTTCACTTATACAATGTTGATCGATGAGCTATGCAAAGATGGAAAACTAAAGCAAGCAACTATTTTCTTTGGATTGATGCTTAAGAAAGGAATAGCCCCTGATGAAGTAACATTAACTGCCCTTATCAATGGTTATTGTCGTGCTGATAAAATTCAAGATAGCTTCATTATTTTTGACAGAATGATAAACGATAGGCTGTTTACAAGTCCACATGCCTTCAACTCATTTATTGACAGTCTTATAAAACAATTTAGATTGGCTGAAGGATATTCTGTTTTTGCAAAAATGTTGAAGCATGGTTTAGTTCCCTCTGTAGTGACCTATACAATACTAGTGAATGGGCTGGTCCACACAGGGGATATGAGTTCTTCATTGAAAGTCATAGATGTTATGAAACAAGACGGATGCCAACCAAATGTGTGCACTTACACTGCAGTGATGTCTGGTCTCTGTCAGAGTGGCAGGATCAAAGAGGCAGAGGACCTCTTGTGCAAAATGCCTGAATATGGTGTAATGCCAAATGATATTACATACGGCATCTTGATTAAGTCACATGTGAAAGGTGGCAGTTTAGAGCGTGCCCTTGCTATTATAAGCACCATGATCCAAAATGGTTGTGAGCCTAATGCTCAAATATATCTTGCATTACTTGCACAAATTGTTTTCTCAAACACCAGTGGAGAACAGTCAGAAAAGCCTTCTACTGGGTTGGTTTCTGGTTCACGAATTATGGGAAAAGATGATCTGTATTTTTCTGCAGACTCTGTTTTTAGAGAGTTGGATGTCTGCCATGCTGCCCATCTTCAGAATATGTTCAAGCAATGCGGGGACTGTACATTGGGTGTGTATAAATTTTTAATTTTAGGGTTCTGTAAAGTTGGAAGAGTTGCTGAAGCAAAGGATCTTATACAGAAGATGGTAAATAGTGGTTATCCTCTTGACAAAGCCCTAAGTTCATGTATCATAGAGTACTTCTGCAGATATCACTGTTATGACTATTGCCTGCATTTGGTAAAGCTGATGATTACAGATAGTTGTATTCCGTCCTTTACATCATGTAGTCCTCTAGTTTTCAGTCTTAGAAATCACGGGAGAGTTAAAGAAGCTATGTGGCTGCTTTCTAACCTTTTGAAAGATTCTAAAATTGATGATGAAACTGCGATCTCTTCACACATTGAATTTCTGATTAAAGGGGATGAACCGATCAAGTGCTTTGATCTTTTAAATTTGATTCACGAGAAGCATCCCTTAGAGAGGCCAATCATCTAGTTTGTTTCTTCGAGGTTCTTGCATCACTGATCACAATTTTTAGCTTCCTCTCTCTAGAGTCTAGATCATTTATGCCTCTCTGCTATGCTACATATGATTTGGTGAGCTCAAACCCTTGACTAATAGTTTTCATGCGCTTTGTTTTGCAAAATGTTTTATATTTGAGTTGCATTGTATTTGTCTCTCGTTGTGCAGCTACTTTGATTAGTTTGATGAAGGTGAAAGACTTTTGAAATGTTTAAAAGAAATATGTTTTGGTTAACAAGCTTTCTTGGAGACTTTGCCAAAGCTGAGTACTGACCTCTCATTCTCATCCATCTTATGGAACTTGGGGATGGAATATGTGGTATTGTATATAAAGCCATTAGCATGAGATCAAGTGAGATTGTAAGTACTTGTTCATTTGATCAAACAATACTTATATATTGATTCAATTGTGCAAGCATTGTATTGTTTAAACTTTCAATGTGTGTCCATTGGTGATGACATCTGGTGATAAAGGGACGTTTTGCAAAAATGGAGTGATCCATTTATGCGTGAGATTCCATGGAACCTTTCCATTTTTTTCAATTTGTCTTCTTCCTTGTGTTTTTTTCTGCACATTTCTTTAGAGTCACCTTCATTTTAAAATGGGAAAACATTGCATTTAGTTTACTTCGTTAGAGTTGCAGATTCCTAATACCGCCCGTGTTTGCATTTTTTTTGCTTTTATGGCTATCCTCATTGAGTGTTATTTGATTTAGACTGGAATCTAACTTTATCAGAACTAATTTTACATCTGAATTCAAGTAATTATTACTCCGATTGTTTTTGTTTTTGCTGCAGATTGCAGCTAAGAAAATGAAGAGAAAACTTTATACTAATTGGGATGAGTGCATAAATTTCTGAGCAGTAAAGGTAGGCAACTGCCAACTGTTTCTATAACTTCTTTTTTTTTTTATCTAAAAGGAGGGGAGCAACCCCAAAGAGTGACTTAATGAGTACAATTGATTGTATGAATGCTGGGAACCCCCGCTTTATCATCCTTAAAAATTTCTCGGATTTCAATTGGGGGGGGAGTTAATTCTCTCCAAGTACCACCCGTATCATGATTAGTCATTCTAGCAATAGTATCTGCTGCATAATTTTGCTCTCTGTAGAAGTGTTTGATAACGATTTCCCATTCCTTGCATAGCCATCCTTTGCACCCCAAAACAACTTGTTTCAAGGGCCCCAAGGGTTCCTCATCACAATATATCCAATTAATAGCATCTCTAGAATCAGTTTGGACGATTAACTGCGGTATCCTTTATTCACTGCCCATTCAGGCCTTAGAAGTATGGCTTTGCACTGTGTGTAGACCACATTATCCGAATGAAATCTGCTCATCATAAAGCCACATAACCAGTCGGTAGCATTTCGAATCCATTCTGCACAGCTTGCTAACCCACTCACTCCTCGTTGGCTACAATCCAAACAGACACTTGCCGCTTATGTTCAAGTAAAGTGGTAGTTAATATGTACTCCGTATTTTATTTTTTTGTGCCGTCCCTTTTAAAACCGAGTCATTTTTATATCATCAAGTCGGTAGAGATTGTCAGGGAGCATAATGAACTTTATTCTTCGTATTTGAGTATATGGTTGGTGTAGTTTGTGTACTTTCATACCTTATCTTTTAAGTGTATATGTTAATCGGAATACAATTTCTGTTTCCCACTTATGAAACATTCCTAGATAATGGTTTTTTGCTTTCTTTATCTTCCAAATTGATAGCACAGATTGTGGACTTTTTTAGTAAATACTCCATACTTAATAGTAATGTGAATGGAATGTTGTGGCCTTATTAGGAAAACATGTACCAAACAATGAGAGATCGCGTGTTGAGAGCATTTTAACATCCAGTACTAAGCTGAAATGGTTGGTCAATGCCCTTTCAGGTGGGACTGATTCACTGATCTTTGTTTTTCTTATGCTTTGTAATGGAGCAGTTACATAAGATATGCTGTGTTTCCGGAACTACGGATTGAAACACCTTTCCTGAAGCAAGTAACGTCTTCAGGCTAGTCGATATCAGTCACTTGCATGTTAGTTAACTTCGTCCTTGTACTAATTTATAACAAAGCTTGTTGTTTCCTTTAGGGCTTGTTTGGTTCAATGAATTCAGAAGGGAAAAGAAAGGAAAATAGTAAGGAAAATCAATTTTTATGTTTGGTTAGAAAAGAAAAAGAAAAGGTAAGTAAAATCTAAAGTAAACGGAAAAATGAGATTTTCCTTCCTTTTTTGTGACGAAAAGAGAGAAAATAGCAAACTCCCCCTCCTTTGTCCCCACACGCAGCCCCTGCCCCTTCCTGCATTGCCCCCACGCTCCACCCTTTCCCTTCCACCTCTTTGAAAAAAATGTCTTCTTTTGTTTACTTACAACAACCAAACAAAAAAGTAAGTGAAAAATAATTTTCTCACCAATTTTCCTACTAACTGAACAAGATTAAGATTTTTGGCTTCTTTGACTTTCTTTTCCTTAGTGTTTTCTTTTCTTTCGTCATTCCTAGAACCAAACACAATGTTAAGGCTTGTTTGGTTGGTAGTTTTGGAGAGGGGATGCACAATTTTAGTTTTAATACAACAACAACCAAAGCCTTATCCCACTAGGTGAAGTCGGTTACATGGATCAACTGGAAGGAACTAGAAAAATCTAGAAGAAACTGTAAGTTAAGCCCAAAAGAATAGGCTCTTACTCTATTTAATCATTTCCTTGGCTGAAATGACTGAAAAAAATACCTGATGTTATGTTACAATGAAATCCTAATAAATTAACTGTTGCTATGTAAGTTTACATTGTGTAGTTGAGATTTGTTTTTTTAACTTAGCGGTCTTAGCCAAGGGTGGTTTGGTTCTTGCTGTAGCTTAGGGACAACAATCCTTCATATATTTTGTGTTATGTAAGAGAGTAACTTGGTAAACCATCTCAATGATAGGCTCTCTATTTTCATGAATCACATTTGATTTTTTTTAAAGAACTCTCCCAGTTTTTGTGAGTGATGCTTATGGTATTGATGGTCTTACCTCTCAAATTCAAGAAGTCGTAAATATGAGTCCCTCTGATACATAAAGCCATCAAGAGCCAAGAACTAAGTGACTTGTTTGAGAACTCTAAGAGGTAGAGTCAAGCCCATTATTTAGTGCCTTCATACAGGGCATGGCACCAAATTACTTAAGCAAAAGCACCCACACCTTCAAAGTGAGCTGTTGGGGCTGAAGATGTATATCAATCAAGTTTTGGTAAAAATTTAGTGCAGCAATAAAGATGGGTGTTAGTAACTGATATGATAATGCTGAGATTAATGTTTGCAATTTGGAAATATAAAGATTCTTCAAACTTTCATTTTTTGAAGTAATGCAGAAGCAGCAGTCATCTTGAAGACCATATTATAGAGTGCTAATCATATTTATAGATTAGTTTTTTTAGCTTAGCTAAATTTATCATTTGTAACTTGTTCTCTCTATTTTGGAAGGTTACACATCTTAATCTTTTTTTTTCACTTCTCCCAAAATCATCTTATTTGCATTGTTCTTGTGTTGTTATTCGTGCACGTTGATACTGTACTGATGGTGTGTACTCTTTGGCAGGATTTTTGTTCCCTGCGGCTGGTGAAACCAAACCAGAGAAAGATGGTGGTGAAACAAGGGAGGGAAGGAAACTGAGAAGGATAATCCGGAGTTGGCATTTAAAAAAAACAAGATACTCTCTCATGAGCAAAAAAAAAGAAGGCAGCAAAAATTGTACTATACAAACAAACTAATGTTTGTTCACTATGGAGCAAAGCTAAGCTGTCAGAATCTGTCTTCGACGTGCACCACCATCTTGCTCACCCGGCGAACCCATCCGAACCCTTTCAAGGCTTTTGAAATCTTCACAAGATTAGAACTTCCCATCATCCCGAAGCTGCTCCCCTTCCCAGTTGACAACTTCTTGAGTGCCTGCAAGCAACAAAGCTGGCCAATCTTCACCTCTTCCTCCTCCTCATTATCATCATCACGGCTCCCCTTTTGACATCTCTCGTTTTTCATCGTTTTCTTGCTCTTCTTCTTCGTCTGTTCTTCTCCTTCTTCTTCGCGTCTCGAACTGTTCATCTTTATCGAGTCGTTTATCTCGTACCTCTCCCACAGTAGATCCATCCCCTCCCCACTGTAAACCGAACTGCGGGGGCTCTCCTCCAGCAGTCTGCTCGCCAATGTCGTCTTCCAATCCTTTTCCTTTTTAGGAAATGCAGTTCCTGTTTTGTTATCCTCCACTGAAGGAGGAGGAGAAGAAGAAGCATTCTTTTCTGCCAAGAGCTGGACTTGGTTTTCTTGTACACCACCACCAATTGGGAAGATCTTATGAGCCTGCAAACTGTCTAAAGACCCTTCGCCATAGATCTTTGACCTCAGGCTTATAAGTTTCCTCCACCACGCCATGATAAGAAAGAAGAGAAAGGAGAGGGATTAGTACAACAATTCTAAGAAGGTAAGGGGAGATGAAAATGAAGTAGGAGAAGTAGAGAGGGTTAGAGATAATGAGAAGTGGTACAATTGTGACATGTTTTATACTACCTCCTTCCTAAATTTATCATCACACTTACCATATGTTTGGACATCCCAAAATCACCTTTTACCATTATTTTTTACTCTATTTACTTGATTTAGTTCATTTTCTTGTTTTTTGTGTTCAGAACTAGTTTTTTTCTTTATAAATTCAATAAAAAAAGTTATGACGAATAATCTAAAATATTTTAAAGAAAAGGTATGAGTGTTATTGACAAAGATGTGCGACAAACTTATTTGAAGGACTAATTAGTCATTTTAAATGTTTCTTTTTTCCTCAAAGGAAAAACTCATTTCTTAAAGATGAGATTTTATACAAAATGACAATTATATCCAAATGCAGAAGAAATTGTAAGCTATTTGCACTTTATGTTTTTTTTTTCAAGTAGGCATTTGCATATAAATTACATTTTCAATTCATTCATTTTTCAACCTATTTTTAAAGCCGGTGTCATTTTCACATGAAAAATGTCTTTTAGGTACGGGAGTAGTAGTTTCTCTTTCAAGAAAATACTTTGCATTTTACTTTTAGTTCACATCAAGCTAAAGCTTCATTTTTTTATAAAATTTTTTTGTGTGATTTATATTATTTTTAGAGCTGGCAAAACGGTCAGTCAGGTCGGGTTTGGGTTCGGTCACTTTGAGTTCGGGTTATTTCGGGTTCGGGTCAATTCGGGTTCGGGTTGAGAATAGTATGTTCATGACCCAGTGTCATCGGGTTCGGGTCAACCCAACGGGTTATGACTTTGGTTTTTAAAATTTTAAAATTAACATTAACACTTACCTTTTCTATTAAATAAATTTAAAATATCAAAAAATATGTATTAAATCTATTAGATTATTCTATTTTAAATCCTAAAAATATTTTTAGATATACAAATCAATATAAGGAATTTAAAAAATGCTTAAGTTTTAGAAAAAAAGTAAGATAATTATGCAATATCATTAAAATTTTGTCAGAAAATATAAATTTATACATTAAAAACGAGTAGTGAAGTGTATAATTTTGAAAAACTTACTTTAGCGGGTCGGTCAGGTCGGGTTCGGTCGGGTTTGACCCATTTTTAGCGGGTCATTTCGGGTTCGGTCAACTTCGGGTTCGGTCAACAAAACCTTTGTTTAAAACCCAGTGTTTTCAGGTCGGGTTTCGGGTCAAAAACAGGTCAGGTCATTTTTTGTCAGGTCTAATTATTTTTCTCTCCTTGACGGAGTAATATTTACAATCACACAATTTCATTTTTTAAAAAAACAAAACAATTGGGTCGGGAGAAATGAAAACATTAAGGGGGGAGAGGGTGACATTGTAAATGTTTTTATGAGTGAAATAGATGTTAAACTAATTGGAAAGGGGTGAAGAAGTGGCGGAAAAGGAAGGAGAGAATAGTGGGAATTTGTTTGATAGCGGATAACGCGGAGTGAATCAAGGGGTAATACAATGTGCTAGTTTTTTGGCTACAAACTATTCAACTGGTCACGATTTTTCATAATTGTGTTATAAAACAATTATCCTAAACGTAAAATTTCTGTAAATATTAGATTCAGACCTCACTTTTTACTAACTATAGAATAGTTTGTAATTAAAGTTTAGTTTACCTCTTTTCAAGTGACATTCTTATCGGTTTTGAGGGGGTCTTCAGGGAAGAAGCATGACTCAGGTGACTAGGTTAGGGGTGTAAAGGGATTAAATTTCGAATACGGGTCTTGGTGTTGTGTACTAAGAAGCAACTATTCTTAGCATAAGGTTTCTGCAAATATCAGATGCAGATCTCGTTTTTTTTTACAAAGTAAATTGTAACTATAGCTTAATTAGCTCCTCTCAAGTGACATTCTAGCCTTTTTTAGGGTGCCTTCGAGGAGGCATGGCTAGGTTAGGGGTGTAAAGAGAGTAAATTTGGAACATGATTCCTAATAACCGTACTTAGAAGTCGGAATCAACAATCCTAAGCATAGAGTTTCTGCAAAAACCAGATGCAGAACTCACTCTTTACTAACTACTTCCTCCATCCAAAAATAATCTTCTCGTTCAGTATTCACAAAGTCAAACTTTATTTACTTTATTGGTCAAATTTCGATGTCCATTTGAAAAAAATAATATAGTCATGACATCTCTAATTTTGTAGATCTTTTAATCTAGTTTTTAAATATGTAATTTTTATTTTTTTAATTTCCACTATTTTTCGTATAAAATGATATAAAAATAATTTCAATTAAACATCATAATCCGAAATGAAAGATTATTGTTATGGAGTAGTTTGTGCTCATCTTTTTGAAAAAAAGTGTGCCAAGGAAAGAAAAAACGCGGAGTGCAATCATTTTTTGGGCTTTACAACTTTTTTTCCTCCTTTAACAGCGCACCCTTGTCTCTTTTGGGATATAAATCTTCATTAATTAATCTCACCAACGTGCAACATAAGGGATGTTGATGGATAAAGAAAAAAGTTAAAAAAAATGTACATTGAAATTCTTATGTTTGGATTATTTTTACAAAGAGTAAAGAAAATTATCGAAAGGATGAAAACCTTAATCTTATATTAAAATATGATTTCTTATATCTTCATTCCCTAAGACCTTGTTTTTTCAGTTAAAATTCTAAAATTGAATGTTGAAAAAAATTGGGAAGAGTTGAAAGAAACAAAAAGAAGTTGGAAAAAATTGGAACGGATTGAAAAATGATGAAGAAAATAGTGTTAAAAAATTACTCAATTAAATTATCATTCAAATAAAATATATCATTTTTAGAGTAATTATTTGGGAGTAGAAAAAGTTTGAAGAAAATGGGAATAGTTGGAAAAAAATTGAAAAAAATTGGAAAAAAATTGAAAGAAGCTAAAAATGGAAAGTTAAGAGCTTTAGATTTAAGGAACATGTTCTAAATTGGGAGAAATACCAATATAGCACTAATATAGTCTTATAATACTCAAAATAGCAGTGTTATAGGTTTTTGAGATGAATTCCCGATTTTGACCTTAATTAAACACCCAAAATTGAATTATACTCAATTTGGTAAAAAAAAAAGTAATTGGTGGCCGTCCAGGATTCTTGGGTACGGAAGATTCGATCTTCACGCCATATTACGGAAAAAAAATTCGAGATATGGCCTTGAACGCAGAAGCAACATCGAGAAGGAGACACAGTGCTAGGGTTTCAATGGCAAGCGATGATGCGCTGGACAAGATTCTTCTTAGCAAAAGATTGGAGAAGATACAGGTATGCTTTGTTTTGGCAGTGAATTCGTTACTTTGGCATAGTAGTAACTTTATCGGCAATAGTTTTGTTTAATTTGGCATTGAATTCGTAACTTTTGCATTAGATTGGGCTTTTGGTATGAATTGGGTAATTGTTTGGAAAAAACACATATTGGAGAACTACTGCCAATGAACTCAAATAGGGGTGCCTGGACCACTGCCATCGAAAAACATCATTGCCTGGACCGTGAAGAACCACTACAATGATATTTTTGTGGTTTTAGCAAAAGATTTGATATTTTTTCTAAGGCAGTGGGTTTTTTTGGTGAAGGTTGCCAGTGTTTTTTTTGTGAAACGTAATTGTTTTTTTTTTTTGGTTTTTTTAAACCATTAAGGGTTTTTTGCTTGAATGTTGGACGTAATTGATTGTTTTTTGGGTTTTGTTTTATTGGCAGTGTGTTTTTTTTAATATTGGCAGTGGGTTTAAATTGTGGGTTTAAAGAAGAACTGGTAATTGATTATACCAGTGAATTTCACCATTGTTTGGCAGTGGGTTTAAATTGTTGTTTTGCATTGATTTTGAAAGTGTTGTTACGTTTGGCAGTGGATTTGAATTGTGATCTATTTGGCAGTGAATTCGAAATAAGATGTTGGTTGTTCTTGGTTTTTTAATCACTGGAAACATTTTTTTGGTTTATTTTTGGTTAAATAAATTGGCAGCGTGAAGATTAGGTATTATGGAGTTGGCAGTGTGAAGACTAAATGTTTAAATTTTTTTATCTATATTTTTAGTTTTAAATATTTCCTATTTTCTTCGTATTAAATCTCTTAATTATGTCTAAGTAGTTAGCATAATTTTATTAAAAACAAAGCTTCTCCATTGAAGATTAATGAAGTGAAGTTGGAAGTGTGATGTGCGATGTATATGTTTAATAAATTGAAGTTCGCAGTGTGAAGTATAGGTGTAGTGAGATCATTTTTGAAATACCAAGTATTTGTCCCTTTTAAATAGTTAGTATGTTAGTGCAAAGTATAAGTGTTAGGAGCCAAGATTTCAACTTTTTCACGTGTTTGACTGAATGCCTATCATGTATATATATACGGGGTGGTTTTTTATTCACCACCTCCATTAAATCAAGTATTTTTGTCGCATATTTGGTTATACGTCTATTGTTTGAGTTCATTCCTTTACTTAATTTAATTGAATGTTTTCTCTTTTATTATTTAAAAGGTACATCATAGATAGGTCCAAATTTGATGATATTGCTACGCGTTGATGAGACATGGGATACTCATGAAAGCTTTACTTCAAAGTATAACACAATGATTGAGGTCCCAGTTGAAACTTTGTTCCAATTTTTCTTAGATTTACTCAAATCTTCCATACTTATTGATTGGTCTCAGAATACTGTTCGTCTTTCTTATATTTTTGCGTCCTCCCCCCACCTATTGTTGTTTCCGATGATTCTGAATTACTATTTTATCTGAAGTTGAAGTCGTTCCAAAATGACACCTCACACCTGCCACTTTGCGCTGAGCTTATTTTGGATTCCACATTCCACCCACAAAGTAATGACGCCACTACCCACAATGATCATAACTTTCTCAATGAGGCATATGTTAACTCTGTTTGCAACGCTAATCTGCAAAGCAATACTTACTCTACACCTTAGAAGAGTGGCAGGGGAATACTAGGTGATGGGAGTTCATGCACTCAACAAAGTCATGTTGACAATCAAAATACCACAGACCCTATAGCTCCTAGTGGCTCATCATCTTCTATGGATGTCATTTCACATTATCATTGTAACGCCCTACAACCCGGTCTATTAGAATTGATTATTTTAAATAATTAATTACTGTTCTGGTCCAGAGTTGGGGAAAATAAAAAAAAAGTTCTTAGAAAAATTATTTGAACACGTCATTAAATTTGTTTTGACTGTCTGATTCCAAAAACGTAAACGGTTTTAGATTTGGACCCATTCAGGGGGAAAAGCGCGTACCATTTAGGTCAGATTTTACACCACAGAGTAGAGTTTAGGGAGATAACTCCCCATTTAATTCCTTCAAGAAACTCACGCCACTACACCTTCCCTCACCATTCATTTTCCACATTTTAATTCACCATTAACACTCATTACTCCATCATCAATATATATCAACTCCCTCTTCATTTCATTCACCTCCCTCACATTTTGGTAACTCCCACTCACATCATCTCCTTTCCTCCTTCCCTTTGTGCATTTTCGGCCAACCCACAACAGCTCAAGGAGGGATTCCGGGAGTAGGCGAGGAGGTGGAAGAGAAGGAAGTTCACGCGAGAAGCCGATCGTTCGTTCGTTCGTTGGTCCATTCATTACCATCATCCGTTCATTTCGTTTCTGTTTCATCAACCCCATCATTTAGAGGTGAGTAGTTGTCCCTCTAATTCTAGAACATCAAGTCATAATCTATGTTGTTATATTCATAGGAATATCGTACGCAACCTACGTAGAATCTATGCATGTTCGTAGGTTAACCATCAAGCATACGTGTGTCCATGTTATCAAGTTATGTACCCGTTAATATAAACATTTTGAAACTCCCTATATTCATGGAATACTTAACATGTAATCATAAACGTTCGTTTCAAAAACTCCCAATGTATAGATGATAAGCAAACAGTCAAAATGGGAATCAGCGTGCCTTGATAATCGATTTACAGAACGGAATAATCGACTATCAGGTCACGCTGAACTCTTCAGTTGATCCAGCATAGTGTGACAATCGATTATCACATAAGTGGTAATCGATTATCAGGCCTTGCGGATTCTGGAGTCAGAGCTGGTTCACTTGACAATCGATTATCACAGAGCAATAATCGATTATCAGGCCTCTCTGGACTTAACATCTAGACAAACCAACTTGACAATCGATTATCCTAAGGTGACATTCGACTTTCATAGGTTGCAGAACTTTGGGAACAGAAGCTGCCATGCTAGATATTCGATTATCACCAACAAATAATCGATTATCAGCCAGTTCTGAACCTAAGG